TATGTGATATGTAATTACGCATTTCTGTTCATCTTGTAGAAATTTAACGTAGGCTAATAATAGTTCAATAATCATAATTTACCTTGTATAACTTGCTTTCAATTGCTCAAAATCACCGATCAGTCTTTAAAGTAGAGATACGGAAAAATCCTTGAAAGAATATCCCAAGATCCTTGGGTTTAAAGCTAAAAAAATATAAAAACAGTTAATATATTACCTATTTTTACCTATAATATGGCCCATACCTGCTACACGCCGAAACGTCGATTTCATCATTTTCTTCATGTAATTAATATCATATATACTTTATTAAAGTGTTAACAAGGAACTTTATATCAAAAAACATCTTTGTACTTATAAATTTCAGCCGAAATATCAGAAACAAACTTCCAATCAAATCTAAACGGCAAAAATTAAAATGGCGCCCGACCTTGCCAGAGGCCTCGAGGCTCACACTGACACACAGACAAAAGACAAAAGAACAGGACGCCGACGTGCATAAAAATGTTCCGTAGCAGAAATTGACAGAAATCATATAGAAATATTCAGATTTTTGTCTAGGACAGTCTAGAAGGCCATGCTTTCTGCCTGGGTAGAACCGCGCCACAACTGTTTCCAATTTTCCGGTTTACTGTCACCCCCCTGATGCTACCCACAGATTTTTCCTAGCCGTCTTAGTTCCTGAAATACAGAGTCCTCTGAAGGTGCGTATTCATTATCCGCACGAACGAACGAACGAACGAACGAACGAATGTTCGCTAGTGGTATGGACGGGGACCGCACGATAGAACCGCACGAGAAGACCGCACGCATTTCTTCATTCGCGCGCCAGTTCAAATCGTCAAGATATTGTTATAAACCTGTTTTTTTTTGGTTATATACCGTCATTGAATTATCGCTAAGCAAGTTACTATGGAGCAGTGCATAAGGAGTCGGGCTAGGAAGCGAGAGACCGGAGTTCGAATCTCGGCCGGAACATCACTTTTTATTTTTTTTTAATACTGTTGTATTCTATAATTTATTTTTGTAGTATAAGAAAAAGAACTATTTATTCTGTTATTTTTTAATCTCCGTTATTAATATAAATTGATTGTTAGTACAATACCTCATTTAATATAAAATAATATTCTACTTTTGAAATGTATCGGGCCCTAATTGTACCTAAAAGTAATATATTTTAGTGATATACCATATTGTAAACTATTTAATATTTCAGTCGCTTAAAAGTTAATTTGCATTGAATAATTGCCTACCATTAAAGGAAATTTGAGCTATATAACCCTTGATGGGCATATTCTGGGTATGCAAATACTTCCTTTAAATTTTGGGTGTGGTTCAACCGATTTATTCTCAAAACCAGAAACATCTACATATAAAAAGAAGCACAGGTCACTAATTATAATAAACTTCACCCTTGGTATTACTTCCACTAATTATAATAAACTTCACCCTTGGTATTACTTCCACTAATTATAATAAACTTCACCCTTGGAATTACTTCTATCACAATTACAATACGTTCATCTGCATTGGCATTTTCTACTTTTCGATGGGAAACAATAAACTTCCCAACATTTTTTAAATGATGTAACAATTCCTCTTGTGGTTACTTTTCCATAGATATCCTCATCTCTGTCCTCATGTGAATTCAGAGGCAATAAAAATGAAAATTATTTACCATAAACATCGCAAACTAATATAGAAATAAATTTAGTATTTTTACCTATTATCGTCCAAATCCATGTTAATAGATAATTATTATTTTTAAATATATTTTTGGAACTGCTGGTTTTAGTAATTATTAAATTAAACGAACTAAAAAGTCTTAAAAATAAACAATTCTTAACCATAACCTCAAAAATGCAGATCTCCTGTCAACTTTCTTTATTTTTATTTATTCATTATTTTCCTAGTGACGTCACAGGTGGTATGCGCGAACTGAACGAAATTGGAGCCGCTATCGATCATACCTTGTATTCTTTGTACCATGACGTCTAAACGCCTTTGATGTACCGACTCGAAGCGGATGGTCGAGCGCACGAACGAACGAACGGCCGCATGCGTTCGGTCCCCGTCTAAATATACCGCACTTTCATTCGTTCGTTCGTTCGTTCATTCGGATAATGAATACGCACCTTAAATCTGAAAGCGCACGCAGGCGAACGCCTTAGATGTACCGACTCGAAGCGGATGGACGAGCGCACGACCGAACGAACGGCCGCATGCGTTCGGTCCCCGTCTAAATATACCGCACTTTCATTCGTTCGTTCGTTCGTTCGTTCGTTCGGATAATGAATACGCACCTTGAGAGAAATCTTCCATGTAGAATTCAGTGGCCTAACTATATTTTAGTTTTTTGCTGGAAGCTGTCATTCTTGAAATATGAACCAAACTTACATTTTTTTTAATGGGATAGCCTGTTTATTATATTTTTATTCCTTATTCTATCTGACTTGCTATGAAATACTCTATACTAACACTATTACTGTACACTACTACACTATACTTATTTTCATAAACAAGGTAAAATAATGCATTATTTAACTTTTTAACATAGGCGGCCGGTTTAAAATAGGTAATCAAAACAATCGAATAATTTATTTGACGTCAAATTTTGGTCATTGACTATTCCACCTTAGTTTCTGTGTGTATAATTTATACAAGTGCATTAAAAATATCAATAACTCCTATTGACATTATTGACATTGTGTTATCTAAAAGCTGTACAAGTTTATTTCAAATACGATAAGAATACACTTTTCAACTAGGTTTATTTATGTTAAAAAGTTAAAAAATATATTTCTTTACCTTGTTTATGAAAATATATTATATTTTTAGAAAGCTCATGACAAGACAAATAAAATAAAAAATAATATATAGGGTGTTCAATTAATAAAAAACATAAATTTGAGTCATATTTCAAAAATGACAGCTCTCAGCGAAAAACTAGTTACGCTACTGGTTTCTACGTAAAATACTTTACGGACTTGAAAACCAAATGAAAGAGATTGGTGACGCCATTACGGCATTTCATAAATTACTGCATATTCTTTTTAGTAATTGCCATTGTTATTTGATTTGGAGTTATAATTTTATTAACGGACATATCAAAATTAAAAATTGATTGTTGCTGTCATACAAAATTCCAATTTTTTTATTGCAAGAATATCTCAAAGATGTAATTAAAATGACCAAAGCTCATTGCTAAGCTTATAAATTATTTTTCTCGGGAAAGAGACGCTGGTAGAAAACTCTTGCTTGTGGACGCCCTATATATGAAGTAAGTACAATGCAAAGGTGTAATGTTCCTAGGTAAGATACAAATTGATTTAGCGTTTTTAAATATTATAGCGAGTTCTTGATGCTTTAGAAATAGGAATTCAGAATTCAACAGTCCAAAGGATTGGAACTAAATAAGGGATCGTAACTGATGAAGATTGATGACTGCTGAGATTACAGGGTGTTCCACGAAACACCCTATACATTTTGGTGGCATTATCTCGCTTATTGGTAATAATGGAACCTTGCGGTTTTGGTAAACCTAATTTACTTCTTTTGTGAAACCCATGATACCATAACTTAAAATTCATTTTAATTAGGTAATACATAATGAATTAATTAAAATGACTTTTTTTGAAAAAGGCTTTTTTGTTGCTCAACTGGTAGGGCAACTCTACCGCAATGACTTTATCTCTGGTGATTAGATCGAGTTTCCTGGAAATTCCAAACAATTATTTTCTCAAAAAAATCAATTGGTATAATAATTGTATCGCATTTTATATTGTAGTTATGAAGGATATTGGAATAGAGAAAGAAAAATTATGGTGAATGTCTCGAACCCAAAAAGTCAGGTTGGAAAATTAACTTTCCCATTTTGTAGATGAAAATAAGTGTCAATGGCAAAGTGTTAATTATTATTTTCATCGTTTTGGAAATAACAATAATAATAATAAAGCTTGTTATTTTTTATTTTTTTGGATTTCCTAAAATTTCAGTATTTTCTCCCTCTTCACTTTTTATAAGTAACTTTTTCTCCCTACTTAAAAAATGAGTTGTGATACTTTATATCAAATTATAATAATAAATAGTGAAAACATTTCAAAATAAAATTATACGGGTGGTGCATCGTCGTTGGAAACAAAAAATTGTATGCAAATTTTGAACTGTCCAAATATTGGCTCCCTTATTAACTTTACAGCTTCCGGCTAAATGGGGTTTTTAAAGGCCTGCGTATGATGAATACACATAGGTACCAAATATGAACAATTTTGGACAAGCCGATTTTAAGTAATTTAAAAAAAACTGCTATTTTTAAATTAAAACTGTACAGGTAACAATGCAGAACCTGGCAAATGCCAACGTACCTTAAGTTGTCATCCTATAATTTTGTCAATGTCAAATTATATTCTCTAAACGTTAGGCTTTTGCCTGATTCGATCCAGTTTGAAATTACAAAAATGCATTTTGGGGACACTAACCGCAGGCACTATAATGTAGTAGTGTAGATCAAAGAATATACCAAGTACAATTGACAAAAATAAAATGGTAGATTGACAACTTACGGTATGTTCACATTTGACTGGTTTTGCATTGTTGTTACCTGTTCAGTTTTAATTTAAAAATAGCAGATGCAACTTTTCTTAAATTACTTAAAATCGGCTTGTCCAAAATTGTTTAAATTTGGCATGTGTATTCAGCATACGGAGACCTTTAAAGCCCCTATTTACGACTTAGCTGTAAAGTTAATAGAAGAGCCAATATTTGGACAGTTAAAAATTTGCATGGGATTTCCTATGTTTACAACGACGATGCACCACCCGGTATAGTGTAATGATTGACAACGGAAACTTTCCCACAGAGTTTTCCAAAATATTTATTCAAATCATGCAAATTTGCAATTATCCGTAACACCGTCAGACCTGTTTCTGTAAATATAGATGATAAGTTTTTATCTAATTTCTGATTGTAATGTGATACGGAGATAAGAATTTTTAAACGATGTACTTGTAACAACATCGATTATTACATGTAACGTTGTCACGCAAGTTACAATTTTGTTAAAATCGAGATTAGGTGTAATAGACAATAATGTTGACGATGGGGCCCAAAAAAATTTGAAACGATCGTGACAAAGTGCGTGATTCGAGTTTTTCGAACTATAGAAGTTTTCAATATTGGTTAAAATGAGTCACAAACTACCCGGATCTCGCCAGTTTTCATACGGTATGTTATTAACAATATAATTCCAGTTGCCCTGTATATCTAGTATTGTTTTATCTAGATCTAGATACTAGTAGTTATAGCATAAAGTTTAGCATACTACATATTATATTGTTATATAATTTATTAAATGGATATATTTTTAAATATAAAAAATGCTATATCAATATTTGATATGGCTTTTGATAATGTTGCATTTGGTTTTAATGAATTAGGTATCAAGATAATAACAATTTAAAATAATCCTAGTTATTTAACGTCAGGGATACTCAATGTACATTTATTGTAATTGGGAAATGAAATGGTAATATTGGTATTTCTATTTTTATAAAGCGAACAATTTGAAAAGTAGCAATTGGGAATATATTTTAGAACTAAAAATACTGTCAGGATGTTATTCCCGATATTCAACAGAAACAGGGATTGGAGTATTTGGACCGAAAACTAAATACTCCGAACCAATGGGCACCTACCCCAGCATCTTTCAGGCAAAAATTTACGCTACCGGAAGATGCGTACAACTTAGCTTAGATAGGAACTATCGGAAACAAGAAATAGCCATCTTATCCGATCAAGCTTATCAAAGAAAGCAAAGACAGCATAGTGAAAGCTGAACAAATGAGAGAAAGAAAATAAAGTCCTCCTACTTTGGGTGCCAGCCGGCAATGAAAAAGCAAGCGATCTAGCTAGAAAAGGAACGAACATTCCACTAACTGGACCAGAACCGTTCTGCTTCCCAAGTGGAAACCAACATAAAGCGGAACTCAAGAACCTGGAAGACTCAACCCGTAACCTGGAATGGGAATCCTCCAACGGTCTGAGGCACTCGAAAAAATTTCTCAGAACTTACGGCCGAGAAAAATCAAAGATATTTCTTATTTTAAGTAAAAACAATCTTCGGATTGTAACGGGGTTTTTAACAGGACACTCTCTCCTTAATGAACACCTTAGTAGAATAAAGGCAAGGAACAACGGTGAATGCAGATTTTGTGGGAAAAATGGGGAACACCAGAACACCTATTCACTGAGTGCGCCGAGACGATAACCATTCTTGCCATAAACTTTGTAAAACCCTTTATAAACTAACCTATGTAAAACCGTCTCAGATTGAGGCTGTCTGATGAGTTTTAACTCAAGAAAAGGGGGATACAATAGATCTGTAAGGTCGTTGTGATTAATCCTCTCTCATACATCTACATTCTGCATCCTATTCCCGATATTAGTTTGGTTTGGTTTGGTTGTAATTGTTACCCAGTATACAAAATATTTAGAGAAGAAAATATGTGCGAGTTAATTTCAAAAAGCACTCTGCCAGAATATTTTTATGTTGATTTAAAGATTTCCCACAAATATAGGTATTGAAAGTATAGAAATTTCGGACTGCCATTGTTGTTATTTATTTGTAACTCTTACACTTGATAACAGTGATACATTTGACTGTTAAATTCTGACCGGTACGTTGTGTAAGTTAAAAATAAGTGCTGAAATTAATTTCATTCAATATTGAATCATTGTCTACCACATTCAAATAAATATATAGATATACTATGTATTTATGGAAACGCACCCATTATTGGGAATGTATTATGAGAAACCAAACTGCGCGCTAAATCAATATTATACTTTTTCATGCATTGATCCTAAATAGGTGCGCTAATCGCCTAAAACTATTATCTTATCTGCAGTTTCTATGATGTTTACTATCTCTGCAAACAATTTGCATAAAACTAAATGAATGCAGAAAGTTATAAGTAACTATATTTATGCAAAGAAAATATTACGTATAGCTAATCGCCTAATCCAGATGCAAATACTTTATATGTCACAGTATGATAGCATTTTCTCATTTTCCAAGTCGGTAATACAAAGATACACAAAAAAATACCCGAAAATAGGTAAAGGAGAAAAAGGAGATGCATTCGAAAGTTGAAAAAAAATATGAAATTACACCTAAATGCTCTACATGTCAATTTTATTCTTCTACTAATCTCCGGAAGTACTGAGCCAGTGTATTAGTATCCTATAAGAGGAATAAAACACCCTTTATAAAATGTAGTCGGTGGAAGTACCGTATGACCGAAAAAAAAGATTTGTAAATGGGGATCTATTTCTATAGATCTTTATAGAGAATGTTTCACCATCATAAAGTTTTGCCAACAAAGTAACAGTGAAATTAATTTTCCAACTGTGATGCCTTGTTTCTATCGTATGGTAGTCTAAGTATACTAAGACTACTGAGTGACATAGAAAATAGAATACCCTATAAAAGGTATTTAATTTTATTTATTATTTTGGGTACACAAATGAAGCCTATTAAAAATCGTAAGTGATCAAAATTTAAGCTGAAATAATGAAATGAAATACTAGAGGTGGTCTGCTACCACATGATAACATTTTTGAAATGAAAAGATGATAACATGATTTTACTAATTTTACAGGAGAGTTCTGGACGGCTGTTGGTTATCACTATCAGGTTTTTTCCGTATATTCTATATTTTTACTAGGCTCAATCAATAGGATTTAACAACTTATTGCCCTGCAGAGTTTATACATTTTGTAGGGACCAGTTAGACATGAGTTAGACCTACTATAATATTGTAAAACCCTAAACTTAAGAAATTGACTCTTATCAACTTTTTCCCCTGGACAAAAAGTTATGTTGACAGCTTTCAAACTTAAAACGTTCCTCATTTATACAATAATAAACATCCTTGGTCCATATAAAAAAAATATTAAAATTAAATCATTTCAGTTAGTTTAGTGTTCTATTTGCTAATGCCATTTAAGTTGTTGACTGTGGGTAATATTTGTTTTGATTTTTTATTCCTTATTTTAGAGTGAATGCAAAATTAGCATGTAGTAATTTTAATTTTTTTACGTTTATTTTAAAAAACGGCATTTTTTTTTGTAATCGGCATTTATGCCGATTACAACTACAAAAAAAGATAAGGAGCAATAAAACATTGTCAGTCTAGGTATAGATCTGGTGAGTCTGTTGCCCACATTACATGCTGAACTGTCGTGTGTCCTGTAATAATGTCATATGCGCCATTTTTTCTGGTGCCCACATTACGCCTGTAATTTTTTAACATTGAAATATCTAAAAATGGCATATTAATGATCCGTCTTACGTTTTCACGTTTCAAACAACTAAAATGTAGTATTTAATAATTATAATGTAATATATTAATTATCTGAGGGCTATTGGAGTATATGTATATGGGGTATTTTCAATACCAACGTAACAATTTATGACACTTCGTGTATATAATCCGTTTGAAATGCAGTTTAGATAACCATGAGACAGAAAGAGAGAGAGAGATTTAGAATTTTTTAACAAATAAATTTATATTTAAAAAATTGAATAAAATGATACTATGATTTAGATAAGAATATTTATAATTATGAATTATGACCCTAAGATATAACATTTTATCAATAATTTTATCATTTAAAATGTTTTTAATCTTAAAAAATATGTTGGCATTTGCCTGGTTTTGTATTGTTACCTGTTTTTACCAATTTTTCTTAAATTAGTTAAAATCGGCTTGTTCAAAATTGTTCAAATTTGGCATGTGTATTGCGCATCTGCCACTTTGCTGTAAAATCACCAGGGGAGCCAATATTTTGACACTTCAAAATTTGCATGCGATATCCTATTTTCCAACGACGATGCACCACCCGGTATACTTTGACCGTCAAAAAAAAATAAAACATTAAAAAGCTGCTTTTTTGTAAAATGAGTTCATTTCAATACATATTGACTTTTTAAAGAGTTTTTCTTTATTCTTTGACACCAATAATACATAATTCTTATCCAGCTTTTAGCAGAATTTTTTTTATAAAATTTTTGATATAATAATAATGTAATAATATGACACAAAATTCCTTAAAAATAACTCTATTTTTAAGAATAAAAACAATTGGGTTTTTTGGATTCTATATTTCACTAAATTTGACGTATTTAAAACGGACATGTTTTTTTAATATATTAATCTAAAATTACAAACTTATACTCTAGGTACCTCATAAAAATATAAATCAATAATATAGATAAGTTATCGTATCTTACTTCATCGATATTTTTAACAGAAATTCATCAAATTATGAAACAACAATTTACGGTTAATTTTTCTACTAAATTTGTGATATAACGAGTATTTATTATAACCTTGTAGGCGTGGAGTAGAGTATTTACTGGGATTATCAATATTAACCACTTATTCGAAGGAAGGGACACATGTACTATATATCTTATCTATATCGATTATTAAAATTACAGAGAAAGACTTATTAATTAGACTTTTCAAATATCTAGTTAATAAGATGAGGAACATTCACATTGAATCAGGTAGAACCCGTAGAATATAAAATTTATCCACTACTTATATCAAACAAAGTCTTGTTATTTTTCATATTATACTTTGAAGGCAGGCTTTATATTTAGCAAGCAAACTTTTATCAATGTATGAAGGTGGGTAGACAATATGTATTTTCTTTGTAAGAAAATCATTATGTGAAACGTTATTGTGATTAATTTCTGTCACTTTTTTGGATACTTAAACATTTCTTTTCCGAACAGTCCATCTTTTTGTTATACAGCTTTATTTTGTAAAAGTGTCGATTGAGTTGGGAATGTCAAGGTTACAATTTCGGTACGAAGCCTGCCTCTAGATATCGCCAGAAATGATATTGTTGATTCCATATTGGGGTATTGCAAAATATAGCCCACTTACAACTGCTGGTTTCATTTTATCTTGGCACTTGTCTGGGGTCCGGTTTTTTAATATTCACACTGGTTGCCTTCTTAACCCATCTATCGACTGGTTACTGTCTGCATGTCAAGATTGTGATGCTATTGCCTGCTGCCTCTAAATATTTTCCTCGCTACCATGGCATTACCTGCCAGTTCTTCCTGTAGGATACTTGCGCTTTGTTCACTTTTCAAGCTTTATGAATATATTTTACAGTCCAAAAACTAATAACATGAAAAATTACATATT